TGCTTATAGACAAATATCAGGAAATGCAAGTACTTCTGAACAAACAACAGGACCAGGTTCTGAATGTGATCAAGGAGTATACAGTCCTGAATTCCTCAACAGTGTAAAGGCTTCAAGTCTCCCTAATCACAGATTGGTTTTGAAAAAGGATGTTCCAATTATATTGTTACGTAATGTTGATCAAAGGAATGGTCTTTGTAATGGAACGGGGCTTCAGATTACACGTATGGGACGCTATGTGATAGAGGGTAAGGTCATCTCAGGCAGCAACATTGGCCATGTTGTGCCTATTCCTAGGATGGACATTGTTCCTACTGATAATAGTATCCCATTCAGATTGAAGAGGAGACAATTTCCTATAGCAGTCTGCTTCGCAATGACGATCAACAAAAGCCAAGGACAGTCCCTATCTATGGTTGGTCTATACCTGCCTCGACCAGTGTTCAGCCACGGACAACTATATGTGGCACTGTCAAGGGTGACAACTAAAAAAGGTCTGAAGGTCTTGATTTGCAACCTTGACGGTTCGCGATCAAATCGCACAATGAATGTTGTTTACAAGGAAGCTCTACGTAATGTAATGTAGAGTGGGTTATTAATTTAAGATGTTTTAGATTTAATGAAATCCTAATTCTATGAATTTATATACTTTTTAAATATATTCAGTCAGCTAATATATGTTTAACCATCAGATTAAAACACAATTCACAGTTACCATCATTAAAATTACGAAATTATAATTGAATTTATTTATTGTAATAAAGAGTAATAAACAAATCTAATGTTTATCTTTACAGTACTCTCTATATACAATTCTGGAAAGGATATTTCATTCTTAAAAAAAAAAGCTATTAATAATTACCGAGCCCTACATATTAGGGTTAACCCTAATTGTAGATATTTAATTCCTCAGACAGCAGTCATGCAACTACTATAAACCACCGTTCCCATTCACATACAGGCAGTCAACAAATGTTTTTGAATACGAAGGGTCAGAAGAAAGGTTGCAATTTATATACAACTGAGAGAATTCTGTTTTAGTACATCCTTCAGTACAGAGATATTCAAAATTCCATAGATCCTTCAATGTTTATATTACATATAGATATAATCTATGGAAGAAGCCTATGATCAATTGGTTAGTGTACCAATAAACATCCGCAGGAAAGGATTGGTAAGCCCTTTTTATCATTATTTATTTGTATTATGATTATTATTGATTTTCATGCATTCTTATTGACAAACATTATTTATATAAATTAACAGATCCTTAGCAGCAACCTAACTTCAATTCTGAGACATGTTGGAAAACAGATCAAAATTCAATTTCAAGGGAACAGATTTTTTTTTGCAAACATACATATCACTAAGAAAAGGAGATGTCAGATATGGGGATCTAATCTGGAAGACTTTTTTCAGGAGTTTGCTGTATGTTCCAAATCCAGATTTAATGTTGTTTATCACAAATCTTCTAATGTGATTCAGTTATTTTATTTTACTTATGATGGCTGTGAAAGGATTCACACAGATGTGAATGCAAATACTGGTAACCGCTATCTACTGAGTTTAAATGATAGCACATCCAAACAAGCTGTAAGTCTTAAGATTCTTGATACACATGTTTCTTCTTTTACAATGTTATCTTAACCTTTTAATGTAAATATATGTTTTATAATATATATTATCAGGACTACTAATAACTGAGATACAATTACAGGTTATCGATAAACGTTTCTTTTATGGTATTGATTGGCCTTCAGAACTAACGACAGCAAACTGTATTGATCTGAAGCACAATCAATGGAAGTTCATGGTTATGAAGTTAAATAATGAAACAGTAGGTTTTGAAGGGCCGAGTTGGGAAGATTTTCATGACTACTATTACAATAGTCTCAAATGTGTCAATGTAATTGTTGTCTACACTGGAAATCTGTTATTCCATTTATGGCTTTACAACAATGAAGGCTACTGTTGCAACCTAGACATTGTTGGTTCGGATACATCTGAAGGTTTGTATTTTATAATCTTTCACTTCGTATTTCAATATCACAAATATTATTATCATAATGCATATTTTAATACTAACCTAAATTTACATTCAGGTGAAGTTGACACAGTAGATTATCTCTGTAGCAACGGTGACAAGAACACACTTCAACAATGACTGAAATTGTGATTTCTCATTGCCGATTAGTATGAACCATATTATACCTACAAATTTACTACAAGTCAAAACCAATGTAATTATGTGTCAATTCTAAACTATTTATTTCATTACATTACAGGAGATACCTTGGCATATAATCCGAAGACTAAAGCTAGAAGATTACACAAATGCTATTTTGTACTATGGTGGAGTTCCTGCACTTAACATGCATCGAATTGTGATAAATGACAATCCATATCGGTTTGTTATTGAAGGTGATCTCAAGTACATGATGGATTTGAAGAAGATACCTTTAGGTATAACTTTAGGTTTTCGTATAGATGCTCGCAAGCCAGTTAATAAGGAATATCTGATTCTAGAAGTTTTGTAGGTGACACTATTTGGCATTCTGTTTTTGCATAGAATTATTATGATGCATGTTCATGACCTAATAATTTCCAGCACAGAATCTATTATTTAAACGTCAAAATTCATTTGTATTTTTATACAAAAAATTGCAATTTTTTGTTTCTGGTAAACCAAAAACCATAAACCTTGATGTGAAGTAACCACATACGTTTCTTTCATGCAAATACTGGTAACCAGAAACAAGTCACCAAAAAGCTGGAAATCTTTGCAATCAAGTTTTTTAACCATCTAAAATTGTAATAACAAAAAGTTTTGATTTCAAGAAACTATCTCACCTTTATTGGATGTTTTAGTGAAATATTCCCGTTGACCGTCCCAAAAACATCAATAACAACATTGTAGAAACAGTAGCAGCTCCAATCCCAGCTCAAACACCAGAAATTTGACCAATGAAAAAAAAAAAAACAAACGTAAGCTTCAAATCATCAAATCAAACTTTCACTGATAGTTGCATATCTACGATTCAAATAAATCCGAAGATAATAAGAGGTTGAATAAGCTAAATTACTATATAGATCTAAACCCGATTGAATGAATATGCATTGTAATGAATAACCCAGATCTGTTGATGACGAAGATGAGATTCCAGATCTATAAGGAGATTTCCGAACGACATACAGAATCACAGCTCAATAATGATAGATCGATGTTCGAAATCAAACTGACACTATTAGATCAAGCATATTGAATTCCTCCAGCTTTCAAACAACTTTTAGCTCCAGCTGACCGTCCCAAAAACAACAATAACTTTCATGTTGTAACAGTAGCAGCTCCAATCCCACCTCGAACAAAAAAAAATTTGACGAATGAAAAAAAAAAAAAAACCGTAAGCATCAAATCATATAAATGGGATTTGACTGATAGTTTCATATATACGATTCAAACAACTCCGAAGCTAACAAGAGGTTGAATAAGCTATATTATCTTATAGATCTAAACCTGATTGAATGCATATGCATTCTAATGAAAAATCCAGTTCTGTTGATGCTGAAGCTGAGCATTTAGCTCAAACAAGAAAATTTTCGAACGATATACAAAATCTAAGCTCACTAATGATAGATCTAAGCTGGACTTCATACTGATACCATTAAATGAAGAATCTGATAATCCTTCAGATTTCAAACACATTTTCAAAAACATCCTCAGATCTCAAATTCCCAGTGTAAATGATTCGAGCAAAAACCCTAATCTGAGCTAAAAAATTGGCCAGTGCTCTGTATGCATTCAATTTTGGGAGGAAGGAAAGTAGAAGAATTTCGGTTTCTCCGAAGTGAAATACGCAGAAAAGTTAAAATGCCAACATAATGACAAGTCAGGCAAAATATCACCACATTTTCATTGTCATTTAAAATAAAAAAAAATAAGTTTATTAAATGTGTGGATTAAAACAACCGTATATGTGTCATTAAATGGGCTGTTTTTGGGTTTCTAATTTAACTTGGCCCGTGTCCTGTGCTGATGTGTGGACATTAAATGGGCTGTGTTTGGATTTCTTAAGTAACACATTATAACAGGCCTGAAACCAAATATCTAATGACTATTATAAATATACATAACTTAAATTTTGGGCCTTTCATATGTTAGAGAATATTAAACCATAAATATATAATTTCCTTAATTTACATTTTATACAATTACTCTATAATTGTCACATACATTTTATATCAATAAAACCTTGATGACCTATAATTTTAAATGTTTCAAAAATAACAATAACATGTAATAACAATGTCTTTCATAACTAGTCAGAATTCGTACTATTGTAATCAAAATTCAATCATTTACATGATTACATAAATTAAACTTATAGTATATTTAATAAACTATTTGTAAATCAAAATACATATCAAAGTTAAAAAATAGGGCCGGCCGGGCATCGCCCAGGCCAAGCATCTAGTTGGTTTGAAAATGTTCGTAAATGTGAAGTTCAGTAAATTAGTTCTAAATGAGTGAATTTTTTTTGGGATTATGATTTGTGATAAGATAATTTCGCTCTTGTACTGACTAGCTGTTTTAGGGAAAATGGTAAGATCAAGATCGCAATGGTAAGTGTATGAAAGTTTTTTTTTTTCGTTATTTATTCATATTTTTTTGTTAAAGTAAACTTACTTTTGATAAATTTAAACGACAGTCACGATACTTTATTTTTTATATTCTTTCCTCAATTTATCTTTTAGTTATTTTATGAAAAATATAAACTCCGTCCGATCTAGTGATCTAAACTTAAAAAAATAAATTTAAATTTTTATTGACTTGTTTTATTCTGACCCGATTCAAAACATATATTTTGGTCTAATTTACAGAATTGTAAAATGAAATTTTGGTTTGGAAACTTTCATTAATTCCTCCTGATCCTGATTCTGCTGTGGGTAATTTTGTCATTCAAAGTTAAGGGTTTTTTTTTTTTTTTTCCTCACCAATATATATCAGATTTTACAATTCTTATTACTTCAAAAATTGATATCAATTTCCTATATAATATTCTCTGCCCGCAGGACCGAACTCTTGAAGCACGATCAGGTTTGTTAAAAGATCTTCTCATCATCTGGAGTTCGGACAATTACCCAGGTAAATTGGAGTTTTTAATAATTTCGAATTTTATTGATGTCACGAAAGTTATTTCTTACAAGTAACGATTAATTCCAGATTTCCAACGTCAATTGCCCTCTCTCTGTTCTGTTCGGTGCCGCCGAATTTTTTCCTCCCTCTTGTCGTCCTCCCTTTACTCTAATCTTCTACGTCAAAGCTTCTTCTTGCTTTTATCTCCGGACTATTTAGTGTTGATTTTGGTTTAGCCCAACGTATTGGAGTCGAATTTGATGTGTCGTCTCTCCGAATTCCAGAAAATCTCCGGTCTTGGGTTCGTGAAGACCAATTCGGGGGTGGATTGCGTAAGGTGAGTTTTTTTTTTTTTGCTTGTATTTTGTTTAGTTTTATTTTTGGGTGTTATTGCTTTTTAATCTCCGACATGGGATGTTTATTCTTGCAATTGAAAACATACTGTATGTCAAGGCATGATCTTAGTTTTATTTTCTATAAAAATTTCTGCTTTTGATTAATTAGCTTTATAATCGTAGAAGAAGGATGAGAAAGTCTATTGGGGGTGCTGTTATTGGAGGGTCGTTAAGATTTGTTTTGATAGTTGAATTATCTGTTTTGATGGAGATAGACCTGTTGGGTTAAAGATGAAGGAGGAGGTGCATGAGGAACTATTGTAACCTAAGGAGGAATGAAAGGCACCTCCTTTTATATGCTAGATAAATTTTCTGGTGCCCTAAGGCGCACATTTGTACCAAAATTTACTCCTACGTAAGATTAAGTCGTTAACCCAGTTACATTTTAATCTGGAAAACAACCGCGTAGTTGTTTTGACTTCGAGAATGTGTGTGGTCCACATTAATTTGTCGGCTTCTTGCGAACTTATTCTATTCCACTCGTGTGCATTATAAGCATGTATGCAGAACATTCCCGTGAACAACTATATTTAGCATAACGTGTTTTGATGATGTATTGTTTTCCTTAATTAGCACAAGTCTTCTGGGCTAGAACTATAACCGGGAAAACCTGGAGTACTTGTATGGTTTATTGTTTCTGTTGATTAGCTTATAAAATGGCATGTAGCTGTGGCTAAATTGAAAGTTGTCATGTGAGTTGTTTAATCATACTTCTTTATCCAGGAATCAAATGCGATAACTAATCAGTTATACACTTGCTAACTTGGTTGGTTTTATAATAATTTTGTCTATTTTGGTTTTTCGTCATAGGTTAACTGTTTACTTGCTATGTATGTACAAGGAGGTTTTATAACAATCTTTTTTTCTCTATGGGCAGGTAATGAAGGATTTGTGTGGAAAGACTGAATTTCGTTCTGAACGTTCTTCGAAAGGTTCCTCTGATAGTCCTGATACCCTAGCTACTTCAGCCTCCTCGGAGGCCGGCGCAAGCAGCTATAACCAGAAAAAGTCATCTGTGTGGTTAGGCTTCTTTGTGTCTGCTTTCTCAGTATTTGACAATTCTAGTGCCCCAAGAGGGGAAAATAAAGACTGTTGCACAAAAAATCATGGATGGACTGTAAATTTAAGGAGAGTTCTCAACAGTGGCTCAATGAGGAGAATTCTTGGACTACATAAGACTGGCTGTTCTAGCTCTAGTGACATATGGCTTCTAGGAATTTGCTACAATGTCGGTGAAGGTAGCTCCCTTAGTGACCCAAGCCAGTCTGAAGGATTTGCTTCCTTTGTGGAAGATTTCTCTTCAAGAATATTGATCACATACCGTAAAGGTTGGAAGATGAATTACTGACCTTTTACAGCTCAATTCATTTGTTGGATAAGCTTTTCTGAGCTAATATTCTTTTGGCTGATATTGGTCATTGTTACTGCTATTAATGTGCAGGATTCACCCCTATAGGAGAGTCTAAGTATACCAGTGATGTGGGCTGGGGTTGCATGGTCAGAAGTGGTCAAATGCTTGTTGCTCAAGTAATTGAATACTTCTCTTGCTACTTTTTTTTTTTTTGGGGTTCGGCTGCACTTTGTTATCTTTTAACTCAATTTGTACTGCTTGTATATGCAGGCATTGCTTTTTCATCACTTGGGAAGATCGTGGAGGAAAACTCTGGACAAGGTAATATTGTGTTCTTTTAACAGTGAATGTTTGTAGAAAATGGTAGAATTTTTCAATTCGTTCCGCTTTAGTTTATATCGAGAATCCCAAGGTGTTTAAGGCTTCTGTTGCATTGCATAGAGTTTGAGCAAGGTTTTTTCTTGTTTATGTTGCAGCCGATGGAACGAAAGTACGTTGAGATATTGCACAGTTTTGGTGACTCTGAGTCATCACCTTATTCTATTCACAATCTCCTTGAAGCTGGTAAGACTTGTGGTCTTACTCCTGGGTCATGGGTTGGTCCATATGCAATGTGTCGCACATGGGAAACTCTAGCTTGGTCTAGGAGAAAGGAGAATGTGGATGACGACCATTTATCGGTGGTTTCTATATATGTTGTTTCTGGGGATGAAAATGGGGAGAGAGGTGGGGCTCCTGTGGTTTGTGTCGAGGATATCAGTAGGCATTGTTTCGAGTATTCAAGGGGCCAAGTTGATTGGATTCCTATAATTTTACTGGTTCCTCTTGTCCTCGGCCTGGACAAGATCAACCCAAGGTATAATTTGCATGTTTAATTTGTCATGGTTGTCATTGACGCGTCATCTGCATATTCATGATACTCTTTGGACTAGTTTTCCTGTCATAATCACCATTGAAGAGTCATCTGCATGTTCAATCTGCTTCAGTTAGTTTCTTTGACATTGTTTCTCAAGACCACTTGAGAAACCTGTTGGAAGTATGAAGTGTTGTTCCTCTACGAGTTATGCATCAATTGAACTATATTGTAACGTGTTTATGTATGCTTCTTAGGTGCTCTCTGCATGAACCTTCATGAAATCAACTGTTACTTACGAAACATAATGTTAGTATGCTTATACTGGACTACTGCCTTCAAAACTTCGACTTGCTTCCAAAATAATAAATTAAAAAAATTGAATCTCCTATCTAAACAATGAAGATTGAATGCTCTGATGCTTGTTTTATTGCTTGAAAGAGTGTATGCACTACGATAATTTTCAAGTCAGTTGCGTTTAACTAGTATGATAATTTCTGGAAAATTTTCCAGTTTAGTGCCAAAGTTTAGGGGTGACACTCTTGGTCCTCAAATGTTTCCAGCTCAATACTTCATCATCAAATTTGGGAAATGCATCATGGTCTTCTAGGAAAAGATTAAGCCTATTTTGCAGGACAAGATGACTTGGTTGTGAAAGGGAATTTGCGTTTGTGTGCTTGAACTTGATTTGGATTATTGATGGGCAAGATGCCAGATTCTATTGTTTTGCTTGATAGTTGGAATGAGCAAACGTTCAAACCTCGGGACAAACCCCCAAATGATGGGGACAATAATTGCGATTTTCCTGTGATATAATTTTGCTGATACTGATTAAAATTTTATCCTGTTTTCCGAACCTGTGAAAAGCTGCAATCAGAACTTTAATTAATGAAAACTTCATTTGTTATTTCGTTTAATCATTTAGACTCACATTTTGGTGATAGGTATATTCCCTTGCTGGGAGACACTTTCCAGTTCCCTCAGAGTCTTGGTATACTGGGTGGTAGACCTGGAGCTTCAACATATATTATTGGCTTGCAAGATGAGAATGCATTTTATCTAGATCCTCATGAAGTTCAGCAGGTATGTTACGTGTATAATTAATTATTTTTGTTGTGCTGTTCCAATTGGGGAAAAAATATTATTCTTGTTGCTTTGCAAATATAAGTTGTTGCCATTAAGGTTTGACACTTTGAATGGTGTTTGCACGAAATGCTCTATGATTTGAAACAATTAAGGGTGCTGTAATAACCTAAAGGGATAATCTGTCGTGTATGGCAGATCATGTATCGCCCACTTTTTGTGCAGCATGATTGATGAGCAAGAAATGATTCTTTCATGTGACTGTTCATCGTAGTTCTACTGTGTATGTACATTTATCCTTTTTCCCAGTTTGGGTTAGTTTTGCAAGTTTGGAGCATCAGCGTATGGTTAACCGTTGGCATTTGAACTAGTACACTTGTGTTGGTCTATCTTGAAGAAGTCCTAGAAGCTCTTTAAAGAGAACAATGCAGCATGTTATACTACTAGAAAAGCAAACAGAGGTTAGGAGAATTGTAACATGGAATACACAAGTACAAAGTTAAAATCTTGGTCTATTTTAGTGAAACCGGAAAACAACCTCATTACATCGATGGTTACAGCATATATGTTACCTGTTTATAAGGGTATTGAAATTGTTGCATGGGCAAACTTCTGCAACAGCCTGGTGCGATGAAACTTTGTCGCATACAATTCTGTAGCTTGAAAAGCTTGTGTGACCTGCGCTCTTTCTATATGGCTACTATGGCGCCTTTGCCAAACAAAATCCTGTTTAGCGAGCTGAGCAAATTCATACATTCATAGACAAGATACATAGTTTTTAAAATGACTCGGTGGAATTTTGTCGGATCCTTACTATCCCCGTTTACTACATTCTACTAATACTTATGCCCTTAAAGTTTAGAGTTACAAAGGCATTCAGGCTTAGAAGATAATAAAATCTCCCAATATCCTAGTCTCCCTAATCCTGGAGAAAAACTCTTTTGACTCAACTCCTTTAGTCATAGCATTGGATTTTTCAGTAATAAGATCTTTTTCTGTTCTTAAAATGTCCTGCTGATTGAAGGCGAATTGTGAGCTGATTGTGTCTGGTATCTCTAGAGGCAACTTAATGCCAAATCCAGAATCTAGCTGAATAAATTTGTGACTACGATTGAACTGATTTGTTTGCTAAAGGTGAATGGGGACCAAAAGAAAAATTGTTTATAGAGCTGTGGAAGACTGTTGGTGCTGCTAAATCATCAAATTTTTGTGTTCAACACTTTCTCGGTAGTCACCTGAATTTTTCTGTTTTCCCTCAGTGATCTGATTTATAAGTAGGTAATCTGCAGTTGGTTTCTTTGATTTTAATTGCTATGATGAAATAGTTACTTTTGTTGATGTTTCTTGGCTCCAAAATGCTTGAAGTGATTGTTTTGTTTATATGCTTCATGGAATTATTGTAGTTCATTTTGTATCAATTGTGCAGCTCTATGTAGTGTATAGCATTTCAAATACTGAAATCTGGGTTTATTGTTAGGTTGCTGAAATTGGGAAAGAGAATCTCGAATGTGATACTTCCACTTACCACTGCAAGTAAGATCGGATTTAGGTTCCTCTTTCTTTGTATTTTCCTCCTATTCTTTTCCAGTTGGGCGACCTTCAACTTTTCTCTTGTTGTGTTTATCCTTCCAGCGTTCTGCGGCAGTTTCCAATGAGCACAATAGATCCATCCTTGGCTATTGGATTTTACTGCCGTGACAAAAGTACGGGGACCTCTGTGGCTGATTTCTTTTTCAATTACAATTTCTGGTCTATTGGTGATATCAAAAAGTAACCATAAATTTGCCTATATTATACAGGTGACTTCGATGATTTTTGTTCCCGCGCATCTAAGCTAGCTGGCAAATCAAATGGTGCTCCACTGTTTACTGTGACTGAGAAAAGGAAATCAAACTCCTGTGTCTCTCATGATAACAGCAATAGTGTTGGGTTTTGTGAGCCTAGCTCCGATGATATGGTGCTTGAAGGTGGATTGGAGCACGACGCCAATGAAGATGAGTGGCAACTCCTTTGACTTTTTTTAAAAAAACTTTCAAGTCACCGGATGATATACCTTTCGGCCGTAAAGTTGTACATAATTCAGTTTGTTGATTCTTGTTTTCAATCCGGTCTTTTGTGATTGAGAACCATTCTGTGGGCACAAATAGACTGTAATTCGACAGACAACGAAATCTCCAAGATATCCGAAACTTGATTAGTTTACCATTTATATCTATATGAACCATTTGCTCTTTAGGACTTAGGAGGATGGTTGGCTACGGGCTCTTCTCCTCTTCTCTCCCTTTGCCCTTTCTGCTAAAATGTTTTTCTACTTTTGGTGCACATGTCTATCATTAATTTATTATTATCACACTCAACACAATGATAACGAGTACTCCCTCCGTCCCATAATTATTGTCCAGTTTTACTAAAATGAAAGATTTTATTTATGGTCAAATTTAACTATATTTTACCTTAAACAACCGGATATACCCCTACATAAGTAATTGTTTAACCACTAAAATTTTATGGATAATGTTTTTTACTAAGGACAAATGTGTAACTTGATCCATAAAAAGTCAAATTGGACAATAATTTTGGCACAAAATTTTTTGGGCAAAGTGGACAATAATTATGGAACGAAGAGAGTATAATAAAGTGACTCATTTACTAATTATTTATCAATATTGTGGGTGCTCTTAGGTTATAAAAATAGATGAACCAGCTATATGGAAGAATAAATATTCAAAATATTAAAAATTGGGCCATTTACCTAAATAGACCCAAAAAAAAAACGGTTTAATTTTTTTTTTGTGGTCATGAAAACATTTGCCGGAAAACAATTTTCCGTTTTTCTAAGTATAATTTAAAAAATGGACTTTCAATTTCCGTTTCCTTATTTTGAATTTTAAAATAATTAAAATTGAAAAACTCAATTTCGCTCGGAAAAAAAAGATAGGAAATATTAGGGGAAATTTTAAACGGAAATTGGAATTTCGTTTTTTTATCAATACAACAACGGAAGACGCAATTCCGTTTTTCATGTCTTAAAAAACAGAAAACGGGATTCCGTTTTTCTGTTATCAGGTTGTCAGCTGCATTATTGGTCTGACACTGATAATCTGACACTGATAATCTGTAAGAATCAGAGCTGCAGGCTTTAATCAAAAAACGGAATTCTAAAATCCGTTTTTTGGTTTATATATGAAGAAGAATTGACACTGTTACCAGATCTGGAAAGTTTTGAAAGAGAAGAAAAAAATATGAAGACGTCTGCAGTTTGAACCTGTTTTTTACGCCTGAAAATTGTTATCGTCAAGGTTAGTAAAGCGTTGATGTTATTTGTTTCCTTTAATCGTATTGTATTAAATTAATTAATTATTGGTCTTATTAAATTCGAATTAGAATGTTTAGTATGAAAATATTGAATTTATTAGGAAATTCGATATAGACAGTTATATTGGGAAATTTGGACTGTTTTTTGAAACATTGGATTGTTTATGGAAATTTAAACTTTTTATTAGGAAAATATTGGATTGTTTGTTTAAATGATGGACTGCTTATGGAAATCTGGGTTTTTTTTAAATGATGGGTTGTTTATGAAACAATGCTGGACTGTTTATCCAAATACGGACTGTTTTATTTGGAAAAAATTGTACTGTTTTTTAAATGTTGGACGATTTATGGAAATTTATACAGTATTATTTGAAAATGATTGTACTGTTTATGGAAATTAGAGACTGCTTTTTTAAGAAATATTTTATTTTTGACAGAAAAATGGCATGGAATGGTCCATATTTTATTAATGTGTACTGGAGAAATAAATATGTTGTAGAAGATGGCACGATCAGAACATTTGATAACAGGGCAGATGCGACATTAGTTATTGAGCGGAAGCTGTCGTATTCTGAGTTTTTGGGCAGAATTTGTGATAAAGCGGGTTGGGATAGAAATTATGTAAATCTGAGAATTAACTTGTTGTTTGAAAACAACGGTGTAAGACGAAGCGCAACAATTACGGACGACTCGTCGGTGGAAATTATTTATTATTTTTCAGTTCATCATATTTGGAGCTATATGTTGAAAATGAAGACACGGTGCGAGCCCAAAATTTGTTAGATCTGTCAGACGAAAACACGATGTTACATTTGTGTCACAACAGGACCAGAATATTGGATGAATAATTCTCAACATGCAGAAGTAGGGCCTAGCAGGAGCAGCGGCGATGGATACGTTGCAGAGGGACATGGTGGGGGTCAAAATGATGACTTTGATTCATCAGATGAGGATGATGCATCAGACGGGACTTATGTAGAAAGCGAAGAGGAAGTTGACTACCAAACTGATGTGTCTGACGAAACCGACTTAGAAGATGAAGAAGAAGAAGCAGACGCAGGAGCAGAAGCAGTGCAGAACTTAGTTACGTCTAGTTTTGGTCAGCATGTTTATTCAGACATTGGTGATTATAAAAATAGCATATTGGATCGAGATGAATTTGAAGTTAAGATGTGGAAAGGTGATAGAGAAAACCTTGATTTGAATACCTGTTTCAACAACAGGGATGAAGTTGAGGCAGCTATCAAAGACTGGAACATATATCACAACAGGCAATTTTATGTTCTTTCTTCTGGACGTAAGTCATGGTCTGCAGAGTGCGCGACAAGAAGAATGCAAACTCCAATTGGGCAATCTACTTGTGCGTGGAGGATGCGTGCATCTTTGAAGAAGAATGGTCTGTGGCAAATTGTGTCCTGGGTTGATCGTCACAATTGCGTTGGAATAACCAGACAAAATGACCATCGCAATTTGAGGTCGAAGTTAATAGCCAGACTTATCAGACGTAGTGTTGAAAATGATCCTGGTTTTAAGGTGAAATCAATCAGGGATGCTGTGAAGGAAGCTTATAAGGTGGATGTGAAGTACAAGAAGGCATGGCATGCAAGAAGAAAAGCTATCGAAGCGTGTTATGGTAGCTGGATCGACAATTTCACGGAATTGCCATGGTAAAAATTTAAAACTTATTAGCTTCCGAATTGCCATGGTTTTTCAAATGCACACTGTTATAATTCACTGTTATAATTCTTGGATTATTGGACTGTTTATTAGACTCTATTGTATTTATGATAGGTATATGGCTGCACTACAGAAATCTAATCCCAACACAGTTGTTGAGTGGAAATGGCAGCCCGGGACTGAAAATGATGAATATAGGGTCTTCAAATATGTTTTCTGGGCATTTGGTCCTTCTATTGCGACCTTTCATATGTGTCAACCTGTTGTGAGTATTGATGGCACACACCTTCGCGGTCAGTACAAGGGTAAGCTTCTTGTAGCAATGGTGAAAACTGCTAACAACCATATCCTGCCCATTGCTTTTGCAATTGTAGATGAGGAGAGCGAGGAAAGCTGGTCATTTTTTCTTTGTAATTTGAGGCTTCATGTTGTACACGACCGAATCACGTGTCTTATATCAGATCGGCATAAGGGGATAATCGGTAATCGAAGAATAATGCCGATTTGTGGCTTGAACCATATTTTGGATACCACAGGTATTGTCTTCGACATGTTCGGAGTAACATGGTGGCGAAACACAAAAAACAAATAGCTCGAACAAATCTGGTGTGCTGGAAAATGGGCAAGAAGAGGCAAAATCACAAGTTTCTAAAATTTCAGCAACAACTGAGAGAGTGCAATGAAGCAGGTCTTGCTTATATGATGGCTATACCGAGGGGGAGGTGGAGTCTTGCCTACGATCAAGATTATGCACGTTGGGGCATGTTGACAACAAATATATCTGAGAGTTACAACAATGTTCAAGGGTGTTCGATTTTTACCAATTAGAGCTGTGGTGGAATCGACTTTGGCGAAGACAATTAAGTTCTTCCGTGATCAGTATGCAGATGCCTTGAAGTGCAATATTCCTATCGGAGATAAATATTGGAAGAAATTCGTAAGTATGAGAATACAAGACAACTCACAAAGTGGAGCCGTATGATTTCCAGCAACAAGTGTATGGGGTCATTACAGGGTTGGCGTCGTATAGGGAAAGGTGGTAATGAACACAAAGTAGAATACAGGATTGGCGTTGTTCATGCAAGAAGTGGCGGACTTACGTGCTTCCTTGTTCGCACGCATTGGGCGTATGTCGGTGGATTGGTGATCACCCGAAAACATAATACATGAATATTATAAGACGAGCACATGGCGTGAGCAATTTCGTCATTCTAGGTTTGTTCCCGTCCCAAGAAGAGAAGAGTGGGCGTCTCCAGGGTGGAACCTTGTTCCTGATTATGTCAATTTAGTTCTGTATAATGCCGTAGGGCGTCAACAACAGCGGCGATTCTTGATGTCCATGGATTATACGGGCAGGGGTGCACGCAGAAGATGTAGGAGATGCGGTAGTCGAGATCATTTAACAAGGCATTGTCATCGTTCGCACCGCTTAGCTGATCGGACTAGATTGGACAAAAACAGAAACACATTTGAGATTTTGTGTAAAATATTTGAGATTACATAGATTTGCATAGCTGCTACTGGTCAGTGTGGTCAGTGTGGCACCATTTATTCCGGAACACAGCATATGTCGTAGATTTTGTGTAAAATATTTGAAATATTTAACTAGTTTTGCCTACTATCCAAGACGGGACTTTGTTTATATATGTTTGCTGCTGCTTTGGTTTTTTTATATGAACTTGACATGATCATTGGTGAAGCAGTGTAGAAAACCTGCTTTTTTATTTTAGTTTCTGTTAGAAAACCTGGTTTGAAATTTTCTGGTTTGATAACCTGGTTTGTTTAGTTTCTCAGTAGACCATATTAATAGCCTTTTTTGGTTTTTTCAGTAATATGGCTAGTTCTTCTTCGTCGCAAGCCCCAAAATTCACAAATAAGGGTCCGATCGACTCTACGCTTCTTTATCTTCAGGGTGATCATCGATCTGATGCCGTTTGGAACAGTGAGCCAAAATTCATTTATGAACACCATAAGTGTCGACGATTTGATAATCTACTTTGGGAGCTATACACAATGACCAATGACTGTGTTAAAGCTTACGTGGCTAAAATGGGTTTTGGATACTTCCTTGAGACGGGTCTCATTCGATTAGACAACTCCCTGGCGACAGCATTGGTTGAAAGATGGCGGCCTGAAACACATACATTTCACTTCCCAATGGGAGAAGCAACAATTACACTCCAAGATGTCGAAGTTCTTTTGGGACTGAGAATTGATGGAAACCTTGTAACTGGCCAAGATTTGCCACCAGCTAGTTGGGTTCCAATGTGCCAGGAGCTTTTGGGATTCACGCCCAAATTGAAAAAAGGGTCCAACCAACTTATGATCACTTTGCTGGCAGATGAGTGTAAGCGAAAACTTCCATGAAATGTCTCCGATGATGCTTGCCAGAAAAGGGCTCGGGTTTTTGTTTTGTGGGCAATTGGAGGTTCACTATTTCCTGACACAACCGGAAATACTGTGCCTTTGCTTTATTTGCCCTTACTGAAGGATTTTAGGACTTGTAGAAAACTAAGTTGGGGGAGTGCATGTCTTGCAGTGTTGTATAATAATCTTTGTAAAGCATCAAAAAGGACAAAATGGGATATAGGTGGATGCTTGATTCTTTTGCAGGTAGAATTTGATTTACTTTATTTTTTTCCTTTTATGTATAACAATTTTTTTTATTTTAACCTAACATGTGTTCATTTACAGATTTGGGCTTATGAACGAATCCCAATGATTCGCCCCATCAGGAAAAATCCGGAAGACGACGATCACACCTTGGCCTTGGGTTCAAGATGGAGGTGTTCATTGGATTTTTCGCAGGTGGCCTCTCACTGTCTCCCAGCACAACGAGATCAACTCGCGAGCCTTAGGAAGGTTGAAGATGTAAGGGTTTCTAATTTTATATTTGATTAAATTCTTTTTGAATGAATTTGAACTTAATGAATAAATGGCTTTTGCACTATTTTTGTAGAAATGTGATTTATTTAATATGCTACTTTACAATGTACAAAGAAAGCTGCCTCTTTTTTTTTTTTTAACAATCTGTTATAATAAAGCAAATTAGGCCATACCTTCCTTTTTCTTTTTGTAAGCTGCCTCTTACAATTAATTAGGACATTGCTTCCTTTTTGTTCCATTCTTTATGTAATCTTAAAAAATAGAAAGAGAAAAAAGAACAATAGAAAAAAGAAAAAAATAAAAAAAAAAGCATTTTCTATTGTATTCTGTTTCTTTTGGCAAAATGTCTACATTCCTTTTGTATTCTATTCTGACAGCCTTGATTGTATGTTCTGTTTTTTATTTCAGTTTATTTGGCAACCTTATGAAGGAGTGGAGATACCTGAAAGATGTACACGGGGTCGAGATCATTGGCAATCCAACACTTGGCTAATTTGCTGGGATGTCATTGAACCGCATCAAGTTGGCCATGTGATACGACAATTTGGCTTCAAACAATTCATCCCACCACAACCAATGATTGTTGGTTTCCAAGAATGGGAAAAGTTGCACAAGTATGGTAGGACTGGAAGAGGTGGAAATAATTGGGAGTTACATCATCGTGAATACATCGAAAAATGGAATAACGGGGCAGACTCCATTGTGGCTGGGTCTCCGAGTGCTCAATCTTCAACCGATGATGATTATCTCCCATGGTATGAAAGTAATACCATCAAATTTATCAAGGGTCCCAATAAGTACACCTTTCAGGAGGAAGGGTATCGTGAACATTTTGATCGTGCAAAATTCTATGTAAGTATTTTCCTCTTTATCTCTACTCTTTTTTTTTTAAGGCTGGTTTCTTTTTTTCTTGAGAATAACTGCATTCGCCTCTTCATTGTGTATGATTTGTTGTTAGTGCTACATGGTAGTATATTCTGTACAAATGGTGTTATTGGTGCTTGTGGATCTTATTGTTTTCTGCTTTCAAGTTCCATTTTTAAATTTTATTTTAAATTGTAAACTTGTTTTTTTTTAAAATTGACAAGTCCTTTGTTTTTTTTTCCTTACAATAATTTGCATTTATTTCTCCCGTTTTTCAATCCGTCAGCAGGTTTGAATGCATCTAAAATTTGTTAAAAAAATCTTGAAATATTTTTCCTTTGTTGGTGATTAAGTTCTGGATATCTGGGTTTCTTTTAGTTTTTATCTCTAATCTTCTCTTTTATTTTTTAAAGCTGGTTTCTTTCTTTTTTTAAAAAAGAATTTTTAGGTTTGTTATTTTTTTAATTACATTTTTAATGGTTAAATTGATTTTAGGCTGATACTTTGAGCGACATCTGCAAAATGGTAGAAGACTACAAGAAATCAGAAGATGTCTACCAAAATTCAGTTTGTACGAATCTCCTTCTTGAACTCACTTCTCATTCTATGAGTGCTTTATCCCTTAGAGCACATGAGATGCCAATTTTGATACCCACACAATCACTTGTTGATCTTCAACCACAACCTTCTCAACCGGTTGGCAAAGTTCGCAAACGAAACATTCCTCACCGTGGGATTGGAGGAGGAAGGCAGAAAATTGTTGAAGAAGAAGAACCAGAATTTGATTTTGAACTCAATGCCGACTTGTTTCAAACTCCAACCCCCCATCATCAGGACGAAGCCAACCAAGAAGGTGAATCTACAAATATGGATGTGGAATCTAGTCTACCTTTGGCGTTAGTAAGGCCGCGTAGAAAACTAAAGAAAGTCAATCGCTACACGCCATCCACTGCCCAACCCGAGGAGGAATTGTAAAGGCATCATTTTGTTGATAATCTACTTTTGATCAATATTTTGTGATGTAGTCTTTTATTTAAACATGTTAGAATTGAAATATTTTGTTGAATTAATGTGTGAATTCAAGGGTTATTTGATTTGAGTTGAGGCTGCTGTTGGTGTTGTTTTGGTGCTGTTTGTTAACTGTTTTTTAACAGGTTTCAACAGGTTTGCAATTGCAAACCTGTTCTGTTTTTTTCTGTTTACTGGTTTCAAAACGGATGTCGAACATCCGTTTTTCTTTGTTTACCAGTTTAAAAACGGATATAGCAATTCCGTTTTTTTTTCTTTACAGGTTTAAAACGGATATAGATATTCCGTTTTCTTTCTGTTTACAGGTTTATCAACGGATATAGCAATTCCGTTTTTTATTGAAAATACAACCTTCGCACGGATTTTCGATTTCCGTTTTAGGTTTCAGAAAAAAAATTATTTTCCGTTTTTTGGTTGCTCGGGCAAATTCTATATAAATTGTTAAGTGAAAAACGGAATTTGAAAATCCGTTTTTATAATCAACGTATTATAAAGTACTAATTACAACTAATTCTACAAAAACGGAATTTGAAAATCCGTTTTATTACCATTACAATGAAAAACGGAAATTAGATTTCCGGCATACATTTTTTCTGACCACTCCCTGAAACAACTATATTTCAGTCTACTACTTTTATTTGGGACATATTTTGGGATTTGATTGATTAAAAACTTGTCCTCATCTTTCCCTAGCTCTCTTATTCCAACTCCACATCATCTAAATTTATAGACGTTCGTCCTCAGCCAATTAATGGCTATACCAGCAGTAAATCAGTAGTAACAAGTAAACAACAAGTGAATGATATTTTGATCGTCATAGTTATAATGATAATAGCGTTAAACACTTTGGCTCGCAGTGTTATTCGGCCTCGTGTTATGAATCATGTCGATCGAGGTCATGACTCGAATGTAATGCGAGGGTTGCGCTTTTGATATTCTATATCGTGGATGCACATAGCATTACGCGAAAGTATATAGGCATGTTTTGGTGAATATAGATATAGTATTACTCCAAAGTATATAAGCGTGTTGGGGCGAGAGCTCGGATGATTGCAAACCACCGTTGTGCTCAGTGCTTTGGGTAACATTCCGAAAGTTGTAAATCTGCATAATTTAGCATCTTTCTGTTCATCTTTGAGTGAAATATGTGGTCATTTTTGCCCTATTTGATTGTATCTCTTTTTCGTGTTAGTTCACTCCAGTATTGTCCCGTATGTTGTACTGTTTTTTTTTTTTTTCATATTATTAAGTAAAAATATGATAAGTATAATGACTAATATACAGTGAAAATAAATAATGCCTGGTTGGTCTTCTATTTTGTTGTCACTGTGGCCAATATAAATTAACCATGTGGTCAATTTTTCTAATTTGTTGACTTTTGACAAATTATAAACTTTGTTTTAATATATACATTATTATGTTCTAAATGAAATCCTTAAATTGTTTTATTTCACATTTACATCTACATCTACATATATAAAAGGCTCGAATGGCACAGTATACTTACTGTTATCAGTACCTTTTTTATGCGTGTTTTACGCTGATTGGATGGTGTCGGTTTTTTTTCCCCTTGCGCTTCTTTCGGTTTCGTAGAAATTCCGATCGTGCGTTATGAATGAAAAATTAATCGCTGCTTCTTCAAGTTACGTGGCTTCGCTTCAATGCGTCAGCAAAATTCCCTCCCCCCTTCCTTCTATATTGCATTCAAATCCCGAATCTAATTTCCTCATTTTACTGTATCAAAATTTCTTGGAAAAACTCTTTAATTTGCTCTCACTCCCCCTTCGTTTGTTTCCCAGATTTGTACTCCCTCCTACAACCTGCAATATATATATTAAACGTCACATAATGCGGCCCAGCATTTCAAGAACAAAAGAAGCTTCAAGATTAAGAACCCATCACATAGAACAAAAAAAAGGGAAAATTTTGAGGGCAAAAATAGAACCTTGAAATGGATTTTTGGGGAACCTCTTCAGTCTTTCCTCTTGAATAGAGGGGACAAAGAGGCAGGAATGAAGGTGAAAAGGGATAGTAAAATACCAGAGATTGAAGGAGAGTTTATTCACACGGGAAAAATGTATTTTGGGAAAGGCTTTTAATAAAGGGTGATAAAAGAATTAGGCAAGGAAAAGGTTGAAAGAATATTAACGTTGTAGTGGTTTAAAAAGATAAATAAAAAAATATCTTTGACTGTTTTGGGTAGATCCTTTCCGAAGACAAATAGATAGTTCATATGATAAAAGTTCTTTAAATGAACTTTAATTCAGAGATCTTTTCTGAAGACAAATAGATGATTCACGTGATAACAATTTTTCAACTGAAATTGAACTTCAATAGATATAGTTTTTTTCGAAAAAATACATGTCGTTATATTAAGAAACGATATCTAAATTATTACTCACATTCTATCATATGCTAAATTACTAACAAATGAACTTCAATAGATATAATTAATGTCCATATCAAGATTAAAACTGTAATCAAGATCAAATGATCCGGTACCTTTTGTCACCTATACCAGGACCCATTGTTTATAATTTAATTTTATTTTAAGAAAGGATTCAGAATCACTATTAAACAAATGTTAGGGATGAGACTAAACTTAACCTTGAATAATGTAGTAAGACAATTCTTTAGTTGTCAAACATTATATGATCATCTTCAAAATGAAAACGGTTATGTAGATTAAAAAGTAGTGGTTTTGTGGCTTAAAAAACTTGCATTCAAATCATCAACTTTAACATAGTAAAGCCTTAGAGAAGCAGAGTTTGGTTGACTTGCACTTTCACTTAAGATTATTCGAACGCACCAGTACAATCGAATTAGGCTATAAATTTAAACACTTAACTTCTTGATGCAGGAAAAAAAATAAGAATTAGGGTTTAAAAATTATTAGAAAATTTTAATCTAGGGATGTTTTAATATTTTACATAATTTTTAAATCTTTTTAGATATTTTTTTTTTAAGTTTAGGATTTAACTATAAATAGGGTTGTTGTACATTTACAGAGAGGTAGTTTTTATGATATTTCATAATTAAGTTTCAGAACTGCGTGTTCTCTTTTCTCTGAGTGCCTGTCTTATGATTTTTATTAGTTTTTGTCTAAAAACTATTGCCTTTGTTCATGGTGATCAAGAATCAAAGTGGTGTTCCTTATTTTCATGCTTCCGGCTGCATCAATTGGTATCAGAGTCATAGGTTTAAGCCAAGCCGTCAGAGCCGTCAACAATTGATTACATGGTTGTAAGAACTAGAGGATGTGATGCAACAAATTGAGTGGGTGCATCAAAGGATTGATGATCTCTAGGATGGATTGAATCATCTGTTGTTTCTTCAGATTTACCGAAAGGTAATATGAGGGGTGAGATTTTATCATGTGAATCAGAATTTGATTCAAGCGAGGACTAGATCATTGATTGGAGCAGGCCACTAATTTATGATGTTTACCCAGATGAGTTTCTGGATGAACTGGTTGAAGATGTTGTTCTTGGTCTTGTTCAGATTTCTTCGCCAACTGAATCAGTAGTAGACAAGGAGGATTTGAAAGAGTTTGATGAGATTGAAGGCAGAGAAGATGATTTTTGTCCTTTGGCAAAACCTGAGAACAAAGAGGTGACTGGTTTCCAGAATTTAGGCAGTGATGATTTTGTTTTGGATGGATCTGATGAAGATTATATTCAGCAAAAGTTGGACTTTATTCAAGAAATTTAGCAACCACATGAAGTTATGATCCTTGTTAGTTCAATCAACTTAAATCCTGCATATCTGATCATGGTGAGGAAAATTTATGAGTTCATGATCTGCTCAAAATAGCAAATTATTTATGCATGAATAAGACGAAGAAAGAAGGCTTTTCGAAAGCGAAGCAATGAGTTAAGTTAACTGGTGATCCTTTTGATTGTGGAAAAGGCAGTCAAAACTCAAGTACGAGTTTTCTTTGTAGCAGGAGAGAGTTGATGCAGGAAAAAAACAAGAATAAGGGTTTAAGAATTATTAGGAAATTTGAATTTAGGGAAGTTTTAGTATTTTACAGAATTTTTAAGTCTTTTTAGATATTTTCCTTTTTAAGTTTAGAGTTTAACTATAAATAAGGTTGTCGAACGTTTACAGAGAGATAATTTTTATAATATTTCATAATTAAGTTTCAGAATTACAAGTTCTCTTTTCACGGTTGAGTGCCTGTGTTATGATTTTTTTTTATTAGTTTTTGTCTAAAAATCATTGCCTTTGTTCATGATGGTGATCATGAATCAAATTGGTGTTCCTTCTTTTTATACTTCCGCCTGCATCACTTCTTTATACAATTATGTAAATTATTGTGCAAACATTTGTACTATTATTTAAATAAAACTTTTTGATTTCGAATTATTTTTTCCTTACAACAAAACTACGACGAGTTTCTACTCTCGAACGACCGCACACCGTGCGGTCTCCCTCCCCTTAGTTCAAGTAAAATAGTAGTAAGAACAGCCTATTCTTTATGCAGCAAGGAAAAGTTCACAGCATTGAGTCCCAAAATCCTAAAAAGTTTCAACCGCTGATTCCAAATGTTTAAACCGGTTTTTAGTGTGTATTTTTAAGTATGTTTTATCGTAAAATATGATTGAACATGAAAAAAAAAACATCGGGATAGGACATTAATTACTAAATTATTATGGAAAAAGAACCATTAAAAACAAAAAACAAATCAAACAAGTGAGACTGCCACAGTTGAATCAATGATCCTATCAATTTCAGACAAGATAATCTAATTCCCAAAAATATCCGACATAAATATGCGATTGAAATTCTTGCATACTTAAGCATGAAAACAATACATAAATAATGCTACCAGAATATGACACGTCCACCCTTTTAACATCCACAGTCCCATTCAATTTCAACAATTAACATCCAGACATACACCATGGTCCTTAACAGGAAGAGAACAAGAAAAAAACAAACAAAATTCAACAGCACATTTCAATAGAAGAACCATCCCCCATTATAGAAAGTGTTGAAAGACCACAAGTTCATAGTTATAGTAACTCTTAAAGTTCAGAATTATAGTAACTCTTACATAATAGCTCAAATAAGAAAAGACTGGAAGGAGTAATATGCAGTGTTGATGTTTTCAAACATCTTAGCTCCCGCACCTTTAGGTAGAAGTTGTGCAGTAATGTTCCTAGATTCACAACTTGGAAGGAGACTTGTACCAGCCCCATGGATCGCTTGAGACATACTGTGTGACTTGCTTTACATTCAAGTAGTTGTCCAGCCCCCTGACGAATTTGGCAAATTACATGAACATTATATAAAAGCAAAATACACCAACTTGAAGAATTTATTGATGCTTTCCAATTTTAGCTAATAAATGAATGTCAAATAACAAGGTGCTAGGGAAAGTGGGGATAGATTTAGGCTGCTTATCACTATTCTTCTCAAAAACAAAAGCTTTCTAAGTAAGAGGGATCTTCATATTTACCGTTCGCCTAATTCACGACCAAAACCACTCCGCTTTTTGCCACCCCAAGGAGCTTGGCAGAAGCATGGCTGGGAACAATTTATCCAAACAATCCCAGACTGGAAGGCCTGAAACAATTTAAGAAACAACGCCAACAGCCATAGGTGAGTCTAAAGATTCTAAAAAAATGCCTCAAAAACAAAAATAAATCAACAGAAAGAATAGAAACAGCCTCACCTTTGCCAAACGATCACATCTTTCCAAATCATCTGATAATACAGCAGCGCCCAGACCATAACTAAAAAGTTGCAAACATAAGTGTTGATCAAATCACTAGCACCATAATCACCTAAATTTTAACGAACGAATGAGACTCAACGTACTGGGTATCATTTGCTAATTCAATGGCTTCTTCCTCAGTCAAAAATGTTTTAACGCATAGAACAGGTCCGAATACCTCCTCTCTCCAGATTTGCATAGATTGTTTTACATCAGTGATGATGGTTGGTTGTACAAAATATCCTTTTTGTAAATTCTGTAAGAAATGTTAGTCTGATGGAGAGAATATCATAAAACAGATGAAACATAGTTGTAGTTACCTTGGGACGTTCGCCACCGTATAAAATGGTAGCTCCTTCCTTCTTAGCAGTGGAGATGAAGTTCATTATCTTCTCATACTGAAATTAAACAAGTCACATTGTCAATTTTTGAAAACCTTATGGCCATGAAAGAAAATTATTCAATACGAAATTTTCAGCAACGCATTGTTAATACTCAGAGAAAATAATATTCTTGTCATTTTAGTAACACTGGCTTATTGCTTCAGACATTTTTATCATTTTTGACATACTGCTTCCATCTGCTTGCTTCAGAAAATTTGAACATATTGTGTGATTCGCTTGACCAATAAAAAGACCAAACTTGGCCTGGTCCAAAAAAATTATCAAAAACTTCTTATGAAATGAAATTCAAACCCCGTTAGTATGAATGATTTGAAAAGGAAATTATCCAGCAGTAAAATCAGCCAAAACAATGCGGTTTGGTAGGATAGAAATCGATATGGTTTTTCTGAATTTAAGATAGTTCCGCATCTGGTCCATCTTTAATAAACTGAAAGTTTATATATCAGGAAAAATGGGCTACTTATTAAACAATAAATTACAAATTTGAAGATACATACACTACAATGGATCTAATCAAACTAGATCTCCAGTTTTCTTTTCGCCACCTTCAGTCTTTGATCAAATGATTAAGGATCTTTGTTACTTGGGGTAAGAATTCAGAACTGACCAAATCCAATTCTCCATGAGGGCTCTGTCTTTAAACAAATAAAAGAAACTAGTACCGGGAAATTAGGAGATCCATTTCTTTCCCTTCCCACTGCATCTCTTTTAATAATTTGACATCAACATCATGTAAATTAGGAGTTTCATCCCTTAAATATTCTTATTATTACTATTACTTTAGTCATCACTGCTCAATCTTATGCTTCTTGGTTTTCTAGAAACACAGGGGACAACATTTTTCTTTCTCATTAAGAGATGGAAGGTTATGATGCTTCTGATCTAATCCAAAGTAAACTAAGTTCAGAAGAGAATTTTGCCCAAATGTGAATAAAGGATTCAGATTTCTCAGAACGTACAGAGAAGAGCAGTTTGCTAATCTAGGATATTAATCCCCTATTTAGATAACTTCCAAATGATTCTATCATTTCTTGGGGTTTATGTATACACAAAATGTTTACACATTGAACTGTTATAGACATGAGTATAAAGCTTCACATAGTGAAAAATTCTACAGCTGTGTTTCAGATTTATGCACAAGGTGTTATTTTTTGATAGACAACATAAGAGTATGATTCCGTAAAAAGAAAAGTAAAATAAAGAAAAGAGCATAATCCCCTAAAGAGTATTCCCTTGTGTAAAGAATGAGCAATATAGAAACAGTGTTTCAGGCTTTGAAAATTGAAAGAGTCATTAAAAAAGGGCAAATGCAACTTTAAAAACTAGCTTCCTTACCTGTCCACCACTTACAACTGGACCAAGCCTGCAACCTTCTTCTAGTGGGTCTGAAATTTTGATATTTTGACACCACTTCACCATCTTTTCCAGAAATTCTGGTGCAATACTTTCCTGAATTTCAAATATATTAATAGACCGTTACTACGCTTCACAAGTAGTAAATAAACATCAACTAAACAAGAATCAATTTGGCAAACAAACAGAGTCGACAGAGTAAAGTCTCCTTTCAACACTTTCCTACAAAGATGTTATTAAAGAGTAATTAGTTCCTCTATTTGTGTATGCTGCATATCATGTTAGTAGTCCCTAGAGAAAAGAAAAATCCTTAGCCAATACAATATTAGGTGTCAGAGATGGTGCAAAAATTGAAAATGATGAAACCTTTCATTTCCGGCATGCAAGCTCCATGACTAAGCACAAACGTATTTTGACATCAACCCAAAGACACCATTAAAAGCTCCAACATAAAAGAATCACGAATACCTAGCGTAGTTAATTTTACTTTGGACTACTGTTGCATATCTGAGAGGTCACAACCAAAAAGTTTTGGTGAATTGAGTAAATTTAAAATGAGAGATTACAAAAATTTCAGCAAATCTAAATGAGAACCATAGTGGAAAAAGAGGGAAGGTCAGGTCAACATTTTTTGTCAACCTCACAACAGCCACCAACCGAGCCTATAGGGGGATCGGTTGTATTGATCATATCTTGCCATTCTTTCAAAATACGATGTTCTCATTTTGGTTGAGAAAATTATGTGTCCTAATAACTTCTTCCAGATTTTATTTAAGATCTTCACTTTCCCCTTTCACTTTGGGTTGATCAATCTTTAATTCTACAGACCTTACTGTAATATGTGAAGGTGTCAAACTCGAATAAATTCAACCAAGTATAACATAAGGAAAAACTTCAAAGAGAGCGAGAGAGTAACTTATACTAACTGCTGCTTACTTCATGGAAGAAATAAAAAAGATTTAAACGTACAGTATGTGTATGAATGTTAATTATTGAGCAAACTTGACGGTGGTATATCATAATGTCAGTTACTAAATATGAATATTAATTATGAACCCCTAATTATGTGAATACTATAATTATGGAAGAAATAAAAAGGATTTAAATGTAAAGTATGTGTATGTTTATTAATTATTGAGCATCACAGATGGAGTAGGAGCTTAGTGAAGCTGCTATGTAATGTCAGTTACTGAGGGAACATACATTTAATTTAAAAAGTTAACTTTCATACTCACATGAACTATAAGACGGGAAGTGGCGCTGCAAATCTGGCCATTTGTCCAAAAGCAGCCGAACAAAGTCCACTCAACAGCTGGTTAAAGTAGAAGCGAGCATACGAAGATTAATATTGACAGCAAAAACAAACAAGGATAATCTAAAAGAAGTTTCAAGCATGTGAAACCAATCAAAATTTGAAATTCAATATAAGATTAAATTATTCTCTCCTAGCCACTCAAAATCATATGAAACCTTGACATTACAAACCTTTATCCAGGTCAACATCCTCGAAAACAACAATTGGACTTTTTCCACCCAACTCAAGTGTAACAGGCTGCCAAATAATACAAAATTACGAAAGATCAATAAATTTCTTATAATTTTGAGTGCCACTTCTACGTTTATATCCAATAACAAACCTTAACAAGCTGAGCAGCTGCCAACATTATTTTGCTACCCGTGGCACTACTTCCAGTGAATGCTATCTGCAGGACAGCAATGCGATCAATTGGCTATTACTCAAATCACAAGTCCCAGCTGAAGCTTAATGAAAATGCAAGCACCTTATCAACATGGGGATGGGACGCCAACGCAGCACCAGCTTCTGTCCCCAAGCCAGTGAGAATGTTCAATACACCACGAGGAAGACCGACCTCCTTGCAGATGTCAGCCAATTCCAAGCAGGTTCTAAATGACATACGATGATGTTGATTGAAAGAAAACGTGAATAGTGATAATTAAATAGATCACAATTTTATCAGGACTCACACTGAACATAACTCTGAAGGCTTGAGAATTGCAGTACAGCCAGCAGCAAGAGCAGGAGCAACTTTCCAAGCAGCCATCAGTAGAGGGTAATTCCTGTACAATAACGCATATCCAGGTCAATCAAGAGAACCAACAGGTTTGAGACATACCACTGTAGATACCAAAAACAGAATCAATCCTTTATCAGCTTAGAAGAATGATCCACAATATTACAATCACTCCCCACTGAATCATCAATTCGCAACCAACAGAAGGCAACAACCATCTGGTGCTTAAAGGACACAACTAATCTTATATCCACCACTGCAATAAGAACATGCTATATTGCAAGGAAATAAACAAATGCCAGTAGAAACGGGGTTTCTATGTTTCTAAGATTATATTCATTTCTTAAGTCAAAATTATTTAAATCTAGAACACGACATTCGTAGCCGTAAATGTGCTTCTACATCTTAGTTTAAAAAAGCGCGCCTGAGGCGCGCCTAGGCGAGAAGCGAGGCGAGGCGACCATGGCATCGCATCACAAGGGGTGATGCGAGGCGTTTACCTGAAGCGAGTGTAATGCGCAAAAAGCGCTCGCTTTTGATGCAAGCGTGATGCGTTAGAGGCGAGCGCCTCATGTATTTGTCACTTTAGTTATATGTGTTTTTTTTTAATGAAAAAGAAAAGGGAAAGATAAGTTTTACCCTATCCCTATTTTTATTCAGCCGTCTCTCTTTCTCTCCTCCTCCTCCTTCGCACGTCTTCGCGTCTGCTACAAGCCGACCACCAATCTCTGTTGCTGCAACTTCAAGTTTCAAATCAAGCATGTCCTCCTCCTCCTTCTCTTCTCTCTTCCTTCTTGCTTTCACCTTCTTCTCTCCTCCTCCTCCTTCTTCCTCTTCTCTCCTTCTTGCGTTCACGGTTCACCTTCTTCTTCTTCTTTCCTCCTTCTTCTCTCGGTCTCATTCACCTTCTTTTCGGTGGAAAAAAAAATGTCCAACTGATTTTGTCTTTTAGCAAAACATATGATTGAATTAATTTACTAATTTTTGTTCACCTCCTTGTACTCTGTGTTTGTGATTATGCCCCTGAATCCTCTCTAATTTTTTTTTTGAATTTCAGTGAATTACATGGCGTCTCAGTCTACTTCCCCCCTATTTTTTGTTGAATGACATGGATTATATTATCTATAATTGCCATCTATAATTGAAATTACATATATAGTTCACTATATTATATTACATATATATAAATTATAATGTTTTGTGGAAGAGGTCGCCTCACATACGTGATGCATTCGCTTTCGCCTCTCGCCTCTCGCCTCGGCTCTCGAGCCTCTTGTCACCTCGGTACGCCTCTCGCATTTTAAAACTAAGTTCTACATAAGGTTTTTTTTCATTTTTCACTTAGCAGTAGATTTGACGGCAAACATAAAGGGTCTTTGAAGCAAATAAACTCTATAAGTAGTCTTCCAACGGTTAATTATTCAGTGATAATCTGTTTCAAATATGAATGATGTCACATCTAACATCAAACATTTAGGAACTACTAAACCTTTTAGAAGGTCACCAGCACAGTGGGTGCACCTTAGGTGATCAGCAAACACAGTTATGACTTGATGGCGTTAAACTAAGTTGATACAAAGAACATATATTAGATCGGGAGAGGGACTTCTTGTTGGTTTTCCATACCAAGAAAACTCACGACATGAATGACAGTGATGCAAAGTAACGACAGACTTAACAGAATCATCCTGTTTAAAGGAACCAAGTACACTTGCATACAGTTAACAAGTAGCTCAGAAGCTTTATGCTTCAACATCAATCATATATTAGTGAACCATCAAATTTAAAACCATATCAGACAGGCGCTATCAGGGGAAAACATGTTACAGCAACGCCACAAAAAGAAAAGCACAATACTTCTGCTGCATATTGCTCTGTGCTAAATGTTTAAATACCTACAGACAAGCCATGGAAAGCAACACTCGTCTCCAGCTACAAAAATGACAATTGATTTTGCAGCCACCAATGAAATACGAGTTAAAGTTATATCAAAAAAGGGATTTTACAGTCTTCACTTTAATGCTGCATGACACTCCTAATCGTGACTGTGCTCCTACCAGGCTTCTTTGACTTTGCAGTAGATATAGAGACTCAGGCAACTATTAAAGTTCTTAAATTTTCTTCTTCAACGGAATAAAGATCTACTGGTAATCTTCTCATATTCATCCACCGACTATCTATTCCATGAATGAATCAAATCATATCTAACATCAAACATTTAGGAAATACTGAACCCTTTAGGTGGTAACTGCTAGACGGTGCAACCAAGATAATCTAAAAACATGGTAAGACAACATTGGAAAATCAAGCATAAAAAACACAAATGAAATGCGGCCTTATGAGTTCTTCAACACAGAAAATCCAAGACATGAATGGCACTGATGCAAGCTAAAAGTTGACTTAATAGAAATCACCCAATATAATAGAACAACATTAGCTATATGGTTTTCTAATCTTCTCACGTAACTGTTATGAACTGTTTTAAGTAATTTTATGCTTAAAAAATAACCACAATATTTTTAAACAAGAAAGAGAAGCAAAGCGAAACATAAAAATAGAACAGAAAAATAGAAACAATGTAACTACATTACCATGGTGTAATCAGCCCAACCACCCCAATGGGTTCCATCAATAGATAAGCCTTAAATGTGTCCATAGGCAGAGAAATAGGAGCCTTTTGTCTTGAATCTAAAGCTTCGGCAAGGTCTGCATTATACTCAAAGCACCCTGCAACATCATCCTGGACGAACACAAAATGGTGTTAAGTCCCTATCCATTACAGCATCATTTAGAAAATTTCAAAAGGATTTTAAAACTTACTATGTCCCAAGCTGCTTCTTCCAAGGGCTTTCCACAATCAAGGGCCTCAAGCTTTGCAAGCTCAGATTTGCGTTCAGTAATCTGAATTACAAGAATTAAGAAAGAAAATCTATTAGTCATCTACGCAGTTGAAAAGAAACGACTAATACATATTAACTGTTAGCATATGAAAGAGGGATATAGTGACATCCGATCTTGAATGAGCAGCCACAGTGGCCCAATGATTAAAAATAGACCAAAAATGCCAGAGCTGCTTGAAAATTTGTACACAAGCCTGAGAATTGATTACTGCATTTCGTAACGAACCAGTGATGGGAAATGAACACTACATCACACGGCTGTATGCATTGGCAGAATGTTGTTTTGACTCCTATAAAATCTTGATTAGATTGTCGCCTAAAATGGAACCTACAGCATTTTTAGCTAATATTCAATAATTAATTATTTGAAATTTGACAGTTTTGAACAGATAATAAGCATCAGACTGATATTCCTGAATCACTTACATCCAACAGATTGACATCAACGTTTTCAGCCAAAAATCATAAATCATAAATCAGGATCAGCAGAGGAGAAAAGTTCGGCACATGATCACGCAGGAAACTAGTTTTAAGGTCAAAAGCAAATGGTAGCCTCCACGTTCTTCGGTAGGAACTAGGTTAAAATATTGAACATAAATTTCAAATTTTTAGAATTCACAACGAACTAATATTGGGGATAAACACCAGACATACAAAGACATACGTTTTGATAGGCTTAATCATAGGAGTATTCAAATCAAAAAATTGTAACTTAACAACCTTCGCAGCAATTGCACGGAGAAACTTGGCACGATACGCCCCCGAGGCTGTCCCCCAGTCTTTTCCTCCATTCCTAGATAGAGCGGTCCTTGCTGCTTCCACGGCAGCATCTACATCTTCAGCTGTGGCAGCTGGGATATCACCTGGCACAAAATCAAATGGAAAGGGGTAACTAGGAGGATACACGCATCCTCAGTCAATGTCCCTGCACAATATACTGATTAATTTCTCTAGTTCTTCATCGCTCTCTCACTACGAGCAACAAACAAGTGTGAAGACAGTCCAAAGAGCAAGCTCATCGTCAAAAGCATCTCAAGTAATTCAATATAATGGAACTTCACTAGAAGAACTTCGTAACAATTAAATCCGGACATCCCCGTTCCTAAACCCAAACAAGAGAAACAAAGTGCTCAAATTCAAAACTATTTTTTTAACAAAAATAACGAAAGCTAGTTACATTAGCCTTTTTATTCCCTTCAACTTCATTTTTACCAATTTACATAGAGTAGATCAAAAAAGACCTTACAGTTTACTTCTACAAATGAGAATCAACGAATCAACTATTGACCATCAGCAACTTAACATAATCCTTCAATTATGTACTAACGAACTAATTTCAAGCATTGGTCTTCAGTAATCAAGGATGAAACAGGTAGGAAAAGGGTTTAGCTAAGAACCAATAATTTCTTCGGTAGCAGGGTTGATGATGGGGTAGCGATTCTTCTTCACGGGTTCTCTCCATTCACCGTCAATGAAAAGAAGACGACTGGGAATCGGGATTGCCATCACTGGAATCTCTCCGGGACTGAATCCAACTGCTGAAGGCTGAAATGTTCGAAGATTGAGTGTATTGATGATCTGAAATTTCTAGCTTAAAGGCCCAACTTCCGAGGAGAAAAGAAATGAATAACAAGAAGATACGAGTCAGCGCAGAGTCAGCTATGAAAGTGGAGCCATTTTTTTTTACTCGCATCGATTAAAAAAAATACTAATAATAAAACCCAGTACGGTGTACCACGTAACTAGTTTCTCTACTAGTGCAAGACCCGAAAGAGGAGAGAATTTCCTTAAATATATTTCGGGATATTTATCTAGACAAAAATAAACCTTTCAAAAATTTTGTGAACAAACTTATATGTTCCGAATTTAGGAAATTTGAATGGGGAGAAGCTCGGATTTCGAAAATCCGAATCTCCATAAACTCGGATTATAGAAATCCGACTTAGTGTTACGTAAATCCGATATTAAGTTAATGACAAAAATTAGTATAATTAATCTAAATCCGAATTTTCTAAATCCTTATTTACAAATAAAATATTAATTTCCAGATAGAAAAAAAATATGTGTTGAAAAATTAAATTTGGGAAAACACGGATCACGGTAATCCGAATAAATGTAGATTCGAATTACTAAAATCCGAATCTCCTCTGTTTTCTGAAAAATGCTAACTCTCAGTTGGCTACATACTCGAATTTACGAAATCCGAATCCCTTACAAAAATTCTGAGATCGGATTTCACAAATCCGATTCTATGTCAAAACTGAAAAAAAAAAATTAGACTGGTTTAACCAGTCCTAAACCTGTTTACAACACCAACAACAATGAAACATTGGAAAACAGAAATTTAATGGCAACAAAACAATAAATGACATTCGATTAACAACAAAACAAATCAAGTTTCATACTAAAATGAATACAAAAACGGGATTGGGACCTTCCTCTTTCTTCTTCCTCCAATCTAATCTCTCGACCACGGTTTCGCTTTTTTACCCGGCGGAGGTTGTGAGGGAAAAGATGGATCGTCATCAACCAGGATTTGGGTATCCTCCACCTCCATCTCATCATTTGCGCCCAGGGTTAAAGCAGCATGTGCTTGATTGATGATATCGTCCAAATACTTGTCGAGTTCTTCGTCTAGGAGATTCTCATCTTCTCGTTTTTTCTAAACTTCTCGGTACTCACGCGAATGTTGTTCAATACTTCACCCTGTAAAGAAATTGAGACGTTAATTAAGAGAGTAAAATTCTAAAAAATAAAAAAATAAATAAAATGAAAACATAAGAAATAATAAAATAAATATAGAATGAACTCACATATAATTTCACTCGACTCGAAGAAGTCTCGTATCCTTGAGGTTCGTAATTACCGGGATTGGATATCAGTTTGACAGTGTTCACCATGAACCATTCATAGTACCCCTCATATACGGAGCCAGGATCTCCTTCCTCTAAATCTCGTAGCACATACTCTTCTCTCCTATTCCAATGACGACGTAGCGGAATGGTGGTCCACCCAATTGTTGCTAAGATACCCAAACATACTGTGGGCGTGATCGAGAATGAATTATGCATTATCTTTAATCATAGGGCACTTGAGAATATCCTGTATGTATCCAAATTGCCTCACAACTCTGCCCGGCTCTTGGGGTTCCCTAATAGCCCAACAGAACATCTAACACCTGATCGTCCAAATGGCTTGGCCTTGTGTGCAGAAATCAGGGAGTCTATGAAGGATATGTGCATATGGTTGCCACCGAAACTGCACGAAAAGAATTTCATTAGATGGTATAACTGGAACGAAAAGAAATTCAAAGTAAATATAAATACCAAACTACAAGTACTTACATCTTCAACACGCAGGCTTGTTAATTGATCTCTAAAAGGTGGGGTGATGCTCCTTGGGGCGTCTCCGTAGGTGTACCTACATTCCCACCTTAATGAACAAAGTGGTACATTTGAATTAGTGAAAAAAATGAATAAGAAACAAATAGAAATAAACATTGAGTTATTTTGAACTAAAAAGACGTACCGCTGAGCTAATGGAGCGGTCTCATCAATCAAATAATCTACTCCTTTTCTTTGTGGCGCGATCCTCTCGATCCGCTCATACGCCCATACCTAGTAAATTGCAATAATGATGTTAAAACTTCAAATTATAACGTCGAAAGCGGAAAATAATTAAAATACCAATTGAAAACTAATACGTACCTGTAGCAAATATAGACAGCCAGTGGCGTCGTGCATGGTGTACTGTGATGCCTCGCACAGTCCACTATTGATCCCTTTCAAAAAAAAAATTATGATAGAATAACGAGATACAGTCTAGTGGTAAGACTCTCCCATGTTTCCAATATGTCACGGGTTGGAGTCACGCCAGGGTAAGTGGGGAACCACTATTGATCCCTTTCAAAAAAAAAAAAAATTATGATAGTATACATTTTTAGTATAATACTAAAAATAAAAATTCAAACTGGACAATAATTTTGGAACAGAGAGAGTAGTTATTAGTATATGAAATTTAATGTATATCTCTATATATAAGAATAGTAATATGCATAAACTGATTTTTATGTTAAACATTTATGTTTTCAGTAAAAGATACGAAAAAATTCCATATAGAAATTAAAAATGTTAAAATATAATAAAAGGGAGAGAAACAAGATTGTTTTCTTATTATTTTGTGTATTGAGTGAGAATATCAATTATCATATTCATAATGCTTACGTTATTAAAAAAAAATCTTGACTATTTATTGTATATAATCAAATAAAAAATTGATACAACAAATTAAGAATTGTATTTATACAAACAAAATAATATACAAAACTGCATTTTTTTAAAAAAATGTAAAAATTGTATTTTTTTTTTTAGTTAGATAACAAATAATTCTATTATGTAATTTTTATAACATCCAAACGCAAGAATTGGTATTAGAACCTTAATTCTAATCAATTATTAAGATCTCCCAAACAAAGGAATTGGATTGAATTGCAATTTCAATATTTCATTTTCAATTCTCTCGTATTGTAATTCTAATTCAATTCTAATTCATTCTCATCAAATGGAGCCTTATGAAGGAATTCCAGAAACTCAGATTTCGAATTGAGAGAAAAGAAATAATTAGAGAGAGATTAAGTCTATAATATTTTTCATAAAAATGTTTACAACAGGATAATTCCAGCTTAATACAATCCCAAAGATAGTTCTAGAATTCTAGCAAAAAGACGATACTCAGGAAAATCTATTGTACTTAATTAAAGCAACATACAAGAAGGACACATGTCAGCTCCACCTTAAAAAATTTTCCCGCCAAAGGCCTTTTTTAGTACAAAATGAAAACTGACACGTGTCACTCTAAAATTGAAAAAATTTAGCTTCACTAAACAAACAAACAAAAGGAAAAAAAAAGCTAATTATGGCCAGTAAAAATCTAAATAAGATAATAAGGAAAATTTTTACGGTTTAAATATAAAGATTTAAATGTAAATAGGATAATTAGGAAAAACCGTAATAACACTCCCCAATTTTAGTTCTATCATCGGAGTCAGTTTGTTTAAGCAATGACCAGATTCCCTATAATAACTTATCTTCAAAATTCGAATCCCACATTTTAATTGTAAGATCAAATCCCTAAAATCACTCTCAAATCTCTCTTTAACGTATCATTCTCAAAAATTCGTCTCATGGTTCAGATCCAAAAAATAATCGTCTAATCAAATATCTACTTCTTCTTCGTCTTCTTCGATTCAGCAGAACTGGGACAATAATTATACACACCTCATCATCGATATCATCCAGAAGCGGCAGCATCATATCATGATTTTTAGGAGGGGTTTTCAGATTTGAGCAGTGACAGCATCATAGCATGATTCTTAGGAAGGGTTTTTAGATTTAAGGAGCGACGGCACCATCGGTGAAAATAAACAATCTGTTTTTCTCCTCGGACGTTTTAGTCATCTCTTCTTTTGTCCGTCAATTTATGTCGGAGGTAATTTTTGCTGCTATTACTCTTTTGTGGAAACTAATTATCGTTTTTCTTTCAGATGTCGGAAGTAATGATTTTTCCTCCACCGCTTCTTCTAATTCTCTCACTGCAGTATGTCATTTTTAGACTCGGATTCAGCTTGATCCAACACGGCCTATCAAGGTGAACAATGGTAAATTTTGTTCTTCTGTTCATCGGACGATTCTGATGTTTGAATTTTTCTTCTCTTTCAATTTAAAGAATTATGGACCTGAGGGTTGTTCGAGATTTTTTCACGAGACTATTCTTTTGACCAATAAAGATTTAGTAAGCACTCAATTAGGATTGCTTTAATTTCAGCTGATGCTTTATATTTTGGTGACGAGAAGCATCGATTGGAGATTCCAAATTTGATGATGATGCTAGTTGCTCTTTTTGATTATGCTAAATGGTATGGCCCAGAGATCCGACCAGCATATTAGAGGATCCCGCTCCACCACCAGGATTTGATATTGCATACTAGTCAAATGACTATTATTTATTTTGTGTAAGCAACCATTTTTTTTTTCATATGGGTTCATTCCATGATAGATCATTGATTGTTAATAATTTGTTATTGTTCTTTGTTTATCCTATGAAATTTGCTTTTCAGATATCTTCAAATTTGTTCTTTGTTTCTTTATATTTCTTTTCCTTCTGGTTTATGTTGATTTGCTAATCTATGTTTGGTTTTTTTTTTTTTACCAAAATGGGGATAATATTGTTTGATTTCCCAGAACCCGCAAGAGTTTTGATTGCTGCTGAATTTGCTCATGTTCTTTGTTACCACCTTCATCATTATTCTGCCGTCTCTGCAATCACCTTTGCAAATTCATGTGGAATATGTTTCTGCCATGATTATTTATCATTATCATTTGTTTACCACACATTTTTAGAGACTCTGGAAATGGTTTCCTCTATCTTTTTTCAACTAAACTTGCTCCTGACTAAAACTGCTGATAAAGTTTAAGGTTACGGCGTTGCATTATTTACATTCAAATCATATTATCCATCATGATATGAAGCCACGATGAGTAGAATTTCGAGTTTTTTTGTTTTTTTTTTTTTTTTTGATTTTGGAGTTTCTAATGTTTTAGGAAGTTCAATCTTACTCATTTGGCTCAGTTGAAGTTTATTTTGCCTTAGATGGTTGAATTTAAGAGCTCTTAGTACATGATTACCGCAGTAGCTCATACTGAGGTAACAACTCTCCTCTAGATCGTCTATTTATTTGACGTCCTTTGTTTATGTAGCTGTTCTTTTATCATATCAGAGGGGTTATTCAAATCTGCAATTCCTTGGAATTTGCTATGTGCACATTTTTTTACACTAATCGAAGGAGAAATAGCTACAAAGGTTCATTGTCCATATTATAAGGCTTCCAGATGTTCCTCAAAAACAGTAGATTTCCTTTGATTGTTTATGCTTTATTTGAATTTATGTTGTGAATGAATGTGTGGATAATAAAGTTATTTTATTTTCTTGGTTGAACATACTTCCTCGAATATATAGTTCATTTAGTTTGTTAAAAAGTATGCGGCCTTAAATGAATAGTGATGCTTATAGCTAATTGAACAAACAATAACTGATAGGTTTTTTTTTGCCCTCTTTGTAATTGTTTATAAGTCACAACTAATGTGTACTTAAGAGATTATGAATATATATTGTTCCAAAAGAGTACAACTCTGGTATGTTATTTGAGTACCGAGGATTTGAGTACAACTCTGTTAGTTTGCATGACATTGGGACCTTGGATTTGGAATTTGGGTCCCCAATGCCAAATCCGGTGTTCGATTGTCAAAAAATAAGGCATTGGCATCGGCCCAATGTCAAAAGACTTTCAATACCACAATTTTAATTCCGGGCTTAAATCTATTATTTGGGATTCTAAACTCTCATGAATTTGAACATGACGCGGGTCTTTCCCGGGTTAAATAAAAAAAAAACTCGGTTTATAAGCTATTCGGATCTTCTCCTTTTTTATTTTTCACGGCCTTACTTTACTTCATTGATTTCTCTCTCTCATCTTACGGCTTTTCCTTAATCCGCCGCGACACCACTCCTTCATCTCCGACTCCGCACTGATCTCCTACCAATTGACGACGGCGAAGGCGAAGACAAAGGAGGCAGCGACTCCACTTTTTCTTATTTCCCTCTTTATTATTTTCCCTCTTTCTTCCTTTCGCATGGATTAGGGTTAGCTTCCCATACTTTCTTCTGATGCTTAGATTTTCAATCAAATCGGTTTTGTTTTAGCAGGAATCTATCCGAATTTTTGTGAATTTTGTTTATTGGAGTCAAATTTGAACTGGGTCTGCTTCTCGGCACCTTACTCAGTTTTGTTTCTCAATAACATATCCCGTCAACTTCTCTTCTTCAACAGTACTCCTCTTCCAAATCCGCTGTGCAAAGGGACTTCAAATTCCAGGTAACGTTTTCTCTCTTCACTGTTCCGTTATTGTTTCCTGGTCCAAAAAAACAGCTTTTTAATCTTTTCTTCTTTAATAAAGAAACAACCAAGAAGAATAATCCTATCTTTACATCCTTAGCTCTGAACAAGTATTTTTTCTGGTGGATAAGAATTAATAATTTTAGCTCTGTAGTTACAAGTTAATGAGTTATATTGAGGTGATGTTGTTATATTGATGTGGTCTAGTGTGATGTTGATTTTAATGGTCGGTGTGGTCTTTTTTTTTGTGTTGATTAGGCACGAAAAACTGATGCTTTGTTTGGTAAGGGTGAGTGGAGTTTACTTCTCCAATTGAGGCACTTTCTGCTAAGTGGTTGATTTTATGTATATATTGTATAGTTGGAACTAGTCTAATCAGGTTAAAAATCTTTTCTTATTCATGTTAAAAAAAAAGAATGATTTCTTGAGCATGGATTATATCTAACATGTGAAGCATTTTTTCTTTTTAATTGTTACACAAATCTTTAGCTTTAAGTTTCTTCTCTCAAATTAAGAGTGAATTTGTTAGTTCTCTCAGATGTGTGTTAGTTCTCCACTTTTTGGTCCAAAAAGAATGCACCGGTTTTTAAATTTTTTTATCCAATTGGTGGAGCAGTCTCTGGAGTGATCAGTGCATTTGTTTTGAATTTATGCATAATTTTCGAGTCTTTAACAGAGAGTATCTGTCTAGATGTTATTAATACAATCTCATTGTGGTTCCAAGAAAACAAAGGGAAAAGAAACCTCTACTGTAGTTGGGGCTCTTTAGCAGTTAAACTGTGTATACCTTTTTAGTTCTGGAGTTTACTTAGCACTAACAGTTAACTTTTTTTTTTGGAGTATAACTTTTTAGTTTTGGAGTTTATCCATACTAAAATATCTCCCATACTGCAGTTGAACTGTTATGGTTTTGCGACATAAGTTTTTTTTTTTTTTGAAGTGTGCCCGATATTAAGTTTACTTGTCTATTTATTGGACGTAATACTTTTTTATCGGCCTTTGTTGTAAAGGGATACAAGAGGTTCATTTGTAGCAACCCTCAAGAATCATAATAAAAGATAGGATTATTGTTTGTGCTTTCAGCGGTTACCATTTGAAATACACAGGGTTCTTCTCATTAATTCTGGGTTAAGTTTTGCGATGATTCATTTGGACAATGTGTTAATATCCTTGTGAAACAATGGCATTTAATGAATTCACTCCTGTATAGCGATCAAGTTGTCTGCATAATGGGCTTAAAGTTCGTATACCCTCTTTGGAATATTAGCCTCTTTGGCAATCTGATTTTTCACTAGTTTTTCTTTACTACTTAATCATTGCACTGAAGCATGACTATCTTCTTGTTTGTTTTGATTGCATTACCATGGTGACTAATTGTGATTCTATCGATGTAGAAAGGCTGTTGATATATCTACTGTAACTGCTTGATTTGTCATTATTTCTGCTGTTGGAGGTGTTTGATTGGAATGATTGTTTTAAGTGAAAAGTCAGCATGAGATACATTGGCTTTGGGGTTCTAGCAGGCATGGCTGTCTAATTAACCACTCTTGGCGTTGTTTCATGGTTCTTGGATAGTGTAGCTCAGTTATTCATAGCTCGCTCAATACATCATTTTGGTGCATTTGCTATCCTTCAGCTGGCATATTTCTTCATACACTTTCTCTTTGCAAGTCAAATAGCCCATGTTAGCACTTTATACTTTGCTTTCCTCTGTATGCATCTGCACTATAAATTGGTTCTGTTAAAGCTTTTAGGCTTACCGTGACTTTACCTTACCTTTACCTAAAACTTTAGGTTTAAATTTTTAAATTGACAAATAAATAAAAACAAAACCAAAGTGATTCTCAGTCGAAGTCATTAACGATATACTATATGCACATGCCAAATGCTGAATATACTATACCAAATACAGAGACATGGCTGAACGCCTGAACCTTTAGCCGCTTAAGTCTTTAATAGCATTAGTGTTCTTAAGCAACTCTACGGATATATAGTTACATACCGAATTCTTATATGGTGCACCATGATATGTTGGCAACTAATAATATGATCATTTAACAGATTAAGTGGGATAAACTATAAAGGCTTAATGCTTGTTGTTAAATAAAGCTAGCATATCATATTCCGATTAAGAAGATATGTGTTTTGCAAGTAAAAGTGAAATGTGTAAGTATGTAACTGACAAAGATCAGATGTAAAAGGAGAGAAACAGAGTATTTTCACTTTTGCTCTAATCATCTGGATCAATTAGTGCTTATATTAATGAATTTGGAACAGCAGATGTACCTATGATACGATACTGGGGCTTATTTGTATATGTTTTAAATCTTTATGTACGCATATTGATGTCTCTACTCTCTAGTTACATATTTATGTCTCTACTCATTAACAGAATTTAAATCTTTTCTTGTTTAGTTACAAGTTTGAAGCAAGTTTTGATTTGCCGTAGCTTTTTGATCAGTCTCTTTGTTTCTTCTTATACTCTTCCTTTCTATGGCTTAAAAGTGATGAATGGTCAGAAGTCGTAGAACATCTTGGCTTAAAAATTTTGTTTTGTTCGCAGGTAAATTCTGCTGATAAGATTCTTGAACTTCTAAATTTGGGCAACAATAGATGCAAAACTGAGAGCACGGAAGCTAACGAAACTTTATCTTGGTCAGTATTATATGCTTTATGTATTTTTCGCTCAATTAGTGTGTTACTAGAGCTTTCAAGAAGAAACATAAAATCTGATTTATGGAAGTATTTCAGAGTTCAAAAACTCAGACTTTGAATGTTGGCTGTTATACTCAGACTTTGATTACGTTACAAATTTAGTTGTTTAGTGTACTTGTTCATTGTTCTTATTTTTTTAGGTTTAGGAGGACTTTATAGATGGCTTCTAATTCACAAGCAAGCTCTCAAGTGAAAGAAAAAGGGAAAGGAAACTGTTTCACTTGGACTCCCGAGATGGATAAGATTCTTGGGATATGTTTTATAGATCAAATGGCTCAAGGAAACAAATGTGACGGGAAATTGGCTTGGAAGTTCTCCTCGTGGACATCAGCTATAAATGCACTTTATGTTCATCTAAAAGTTAATGTAGACAAGAGCAAAGTCCAATCTCGTTTGAAGACATGGGCGAAGCACCATGAGATCTTGTATCCGTTATTGGTCTCCAGCAATTCCGGCTCTCCAATCACATGGGACTATGTGAGGGGCAGAATTGCAATCCACGATGAAAATGTTTGGAATGAGTGACTGCAGGTATTTTTTTCCTCCCATTTATGCATTTTGTGTGATGTAAATGTGTCAAAAGTTGGTGCAGGAGCCTTGCTAGTCTTTATGTTGTATCCATTTATATGTACTAAAACAATAAAGTTGCATCACTCATGCCTTTTCAGTCTCCTTTCCTATAAGATGAGACTGCTGTGTGTTGTATTATGAAAATCTCCAGTATTAACCAATGCAATAATGGTTTTCTTTCTAATTTACTTTCCAATTAGAAGCTAAAATTGTCTCTAATACTGGTATAGTAGTGATATCATCACAAATTATAGTAACAGTCTTCAAAGATGATCATGGCAGGATTGCAAGCCCAGTGTATACCTTGGGTTGTAAAGTTTTCTTAATCTAATTTGCTATCCACATTGTATACCTTGGGTTGTAATGCATTTTGTGTGATTTATTCAATTTGTTATTTTGCATATTCCTAAGTTATACATCAAATTCTTATCTTTTGCATATTCCTAAGGTATTACATTATTAAGCTTCTTTTGCATTCTAGGGTTTGAAATGTATTTACTTCTCTGCATTGATGTACAGTTTTTGTTATATAGGCCAATCCCCAACTTGCTCCTTGTAGGAGCAAAATTGTGATTGAAAATTGGGATGATATTTGTGCAATTTTCTCGCAAGACCGTGCCGATGGCCAAGGGGCAGCAACTTTTGAGGAGAATAATGCTGAGACAGAGGTCAACTCTTTCAACATAGGAGATCCATTTGAAGAGATTCATAATCAATTTGAAGCTATGAGACTTTTGTTGGCCCGGCAAAAGCGAAAGGAAGGCACATCTTCTGCTTGTTCTCAAGGCTCGAGAAAAAAACCAACATCAACGCAAGCTCCTGATTATATGACGCAAATGGCTACTGAGTTTAGTGACTACATGTTGGGGGAATGAAAAAAGACTGAACTTGTGATAGCACAAACAACAAAGATCACCCCTCAACAAATTTTGTCAGAATTGAAGGAAATTGATTTGGATGACATGCAGAAAATCAAGGATGTGGATATGATGACGCTCAATCGAGTAATGTTTGATACATTTGTGGGATTGCCAGTTGAGTTGAAATACAAATGGCTTATGGCCAAACTTGATAAAGAAAACTGATTGTTCAGGTAATATTCTTTCACCTTTTCTGGTTGTTACATTGGAACTGTCTGCATTATAATCAGGTTCTGGTGGCTTCTGATGCAGAAGAGGAAGAGTTTGAAGTTGTGCACGTAATGCGGTTGCAGAAAACTTGGATGCACAAATTGTGGCAGCAGCAGAAGCAGAGCTGGCTGAATTTGGTCCTCCTCTTTTCATGCCAACCTGAAGACTCTCTTCTCTACGCCGCAACGACTTCTCAAGTTCCTTCCTGCAATGATTGCACCAAGCGGCCTGTATTAAGCTTGCAGCCCATCTTTTCCATTCGTGGGAGTAGAACCTGCTTGCATATATTTTAGGAACTCATCATGATAAGCCAGCATTTTTTTTTCTTTTCATCTTCAGGTTAAAAGAAAGTAGTTTTTGATTAAGTATATCATGGAATTGTTTTGGTCATTTTTAGTGGAATGTTGAAAATCATTTTTCGTCTCGTATCATTAGTCATGTTTATAAATTTTCATTCCCTAGCGAAAATGGAGTTTTTAATTTTCTCATTTTTACGCTTGACAAACATGACAGTAAAACTCCACCTGAAGATGTGTTGAATCTGCTCCCTGTGGAGTTGTCTGAATTGAGAGGTTACAAACCGGAGATCATCAGCTCTTAAAGCAAAAGCTTCCACATTTTCAATCGCTTTGATTGTTCTTGTTGAGATGGGAAGGCTGGAGATGCAGGCGCCAAGAAGAAAAATCAATAATTTCAGAAAAGGCATTCGAGACTCGTTCCACATTTATATATTATTTTTGAAATGGCACTATTTAACATAACAAAAATTAAAAGTTGAAGTAATTTCAAAACAAATCAATTTTTCTTTTTTCTTTATTTTTGTAAAAAATAAGCAAAAGCCAAAACCAACCCAATTACATGACTATCCGAACAGAGAATTTGGAATCCCAATTGAATTTGTGGCTAATTCTATGATTTTGCTGAACAAATGATTTGACATTCAATTAGAATATCTTGAATGTCAATTGAATCCAAAAATATTCTAATCCCAATTGAATCCCAAAAACAAGTAGCCGAACACACCCTTAGGCTCTGTTTGGTTGGATTGAATTGGACTCAAGAATTGGAATTAGAGGTTCCCAATTCCAATTCTTTGTGTTTGACTGATAAAAATAGAGCTTCCAGAATTGGAATTATGATTCAAGATGAGGCTCAATTTTTTATTTTCAATTCTTTTGTGGGAACAAATAATTGCAATTCAAATTCCAGCAATTTTAAAAAATGTGCGGGTCGTACTCGGGTCAATGACGGGTTATAAAGAAAACATGTCAAATTTGTAGTAAACTCAAACAAGTTCGTGTGTGTGTAGCTCAGGCGCCAAAAGGGTGTTGCTCTGACATCCCTTCCTAATGCGCATTTTTTGTTTTTGCCTTTTTTTTTCCAGATTTATTTGGCTTAGTTTCCAAGCCCTTTTATTTTTCTTTTATTATTTTTTTTAGACAGAATGGGAAAGTGCGTGCATCTTTTTCATCTAAATATTCAAAATAGAATTATTACAAATAGTGTTGGGATCTTTGTATTTGAAGTATTCATTTTTTTTAATCATATATTCCACAAAAATATATCTAATACTTTCTTAGTTCCAAAATAATTGTCCTATTTAGATTTTTTTTTTGGATAACGTTGGGAATCCTACCATAGATGGGTAAATAATTGTCATATTTAGATTTTGATTATTAATGAAAATTCAAATCGGACAACTATTTTAAGACTGTGAAAATATAATTTTTCAAAATTCCAAACATGAGAAAAAAAAGAAGAAGTTTGACTAGGGATTTAATTGTATGTTGAGTGGGAATTTTACTTTCACATTAATAGATTTATGTAATATAAAAATTCTATATACATACATAATAAATCATGAAAGAATAACGACATGCAGTCTAGTGGTAAGACTCTTCCCTGTTTCCAATATGTCACGGGTTGGAGTCACGCCAGGGTAAGTGGGGAACCACTATTGATCTCTTTCAAAAAAAAAAGAAAAAAATTATTATAGTATACATTTTTAGTATAATACTAAAAATAAAAATCTAAACTGGACAATAATTTTGGAACAGAGAGAGTAGTTATTAGTATATGAAATTTAATGTATATCTCTATATATAAGAATAGTAATATGCATAAACTGATTTTTATGTTAAACATTTATGTTTTCAGTAAAAGATACGAAAAAATTCCATATAGAAATTAAAAATGTTAAAATCTAATAAAAGGGAGAGAAACAAGATTGTTTTCTTATTATTTTGTGTATTGAGTGAGAATATCAATTATCATATTCATAATGCTTACGTTATTAAAAAAAATCTTGACTGTTTATTGTATATAATCAAATAAAAAATTGATACAACAAATTAAGAATTGTATTTATACAAACAAAATTATATACAAAACTGCATTTTTTTTAAAAAAATGTAAAAATTGTATTTTTTTTTTTTGGTTAGATAACAATAATTCTAGTATGTAATTTTTATAACATCCAAACGTAAGAATTGGTATTAGAACCTTAATTCTAGTCAATTATTAAGATCTCCCAAACAAAGGAATTGGATTGAATTGCAATTTCAATATTTCATTTTCAATTCTCTCGTATTGTAATTCTAATTCAATTCTAATTCATTCTCACCAAACGGAGCCTTATGAAGGAATTTCAGAAACTCAGATTTTGAATTGAGAGAATAGAAATAATTAGAGAGAGATTAAGTCTATAATATTTTTCATAAAAGTGTTTACAACAGGATAATTCCAGCTTAATACAATCCTAAAGATAGTTCTAGAATTCTAGCAAAAAGACGATACTTAGGAAAATCTATTGTACTTAATTAAATCAACATACAAGTAGGACACATGTCAGCTCCACCTTAAAAAATTTCCCGCTAAAGGCCTTTTTTAGTACAAAATGAAAACTGACATGTGTCACTTTGAAACTGAAAAAATTTAGCTTCACTAAACAAACAAACAAACAAAAGAAAAGAAAAGCTAATTATGGCCAGTAAAAATCTAAATAATTAATAAGGAAAATTTTTGCGTTTTAAATATAAAGATTTAAATGTAAATGGTATAATTAGGAAAAACCGTAAAATTCACTCCCCAATTTTAGCTCTATCATCGGAGTCAGTTTGTTTAAGCAATGACCAGATTCCCTATAATAACTTATCATCAAAATTCGAATCCCACATTTTAATTGTAAGATCAAATCCCTAAAATCACTCTCAAATCTCTCTTTAGTGTATCATTCTCAAAATTTCGTCTCATGGTTCAGATCCAAAAAATAATTCATCTAATCAAATCTCTGCTTCTTCTTCGTCTTCTTCCATTCAGCAGAACTGGGACAATAATTATACACACCTCATCATCGATATCATCCAGAAGCGGTGGCATCATATCATGATTTTTAGGAGGGGTTTTCAGATTTGAGCTGTGACAACATCATAGCATGATTCTTAGAAAGGGTTTTTGGATTTGAGGAGCGACGGCACCATCGGTAAAAATAAACAATCTGTTTTCTCCTCGGACATTTTAGTCATCTCCTCTTTTGTCCGTCAATTTATGTCGGAGGTAATTTTTGCTGCTATTACTCTTTTGTGGAAACTAATTATCATTTTTCTTTTAGATGTCGGAAGTAATGATTTTTCCTCCACCGCTTCTTCTAATTCTCTCACTGCAGTAAGTCATTTTTAGACTCGGATTCAGCTCAATCCCACACGGCCTATCAATGTGAACAATGGTAAATTTTGTTCTTCTGTTCATCGGACGATTCTGATGTTTGAATTTTTTTTCTCTTTCAATTTAAAGAATTATGGACCTGAGAGTTGTTCGAGATTTTTTCACGAGACTATTCTTTTGACCAATAAAGATTTAGTAAGCACTCAATTAGGATTGCTTTAATTTCAGCTGATGCTTTATATTTTGGTGACGAGAAGCATTGATTGGAGATTCCGAATTTGATGATGATGCTGGTTGCTCTTTTTGATTATGCTAAATGGTATGGCCCAGAGATCCGACCAGCATATTAGAGGATCCCGCTCCACCGCCAGGATTTGATATTGCTTACCTAGTCAAATGACTATTATTTATTTTGTGTAAGCAACCATTTTTTTTTCATATGGGTTCATTCCATGATAGATCACTGATTGTTCATAATTTGTTATTGTTCTTTGTTTATCCTATGAAATTTGCTTTTCAGATATCTTCAAATTTGTTCTTTGTTGCTTTATATTTCTTTTCCTTCTGGTTTATGTGGATTTGCTAATCTATGTTTGGTTTTTTTTACCAAAATGGGGATAATATTGCTTGATTTCCTAGAACCCACAAGAGTTTTGGTTGCTGCTGAATTCGCTCAGGTTCTTTGTTGCCACCTTCATCATTATTCTGCCGTCTCTACACTCACCTTTGCAAATTCATGTGGAATATGTTTCTGCCATGATTATTTATCATTATCATTTGTTTACCACTCATTTTTAGAGACTCTGGAAATGGTTTCCTCTATCTTTTTTCAACTAAAATTGCTCCTGACTAAAACTGCTGATAAAGTTTAAGGTTACGGCACTGCATTAGTCACATTCAAATCATATATCATGATATGAAGCCACGGTGAGTAGAATTTTAAGTTTTTTTTTCTTCTTATTTTGGAGTTTCTAATGTATTAGGAAGTTCAATCTTACTCATTTGGCTCAGTTGAAGTTTATTTTTCCTGAGACGGTTGAGTTTAAGAGCTCTTAGTACATGATTACCGCAGTAGCTCATAC